AAGGAAGAAAAGGAAGGAGAAAGGGGAGGGGAGGAAGAAAGGAAGAAAAGGAAGGAAGGAAGGAGAAAAGGGGTGGAAGGAAGGAAGGAGAAAGGAGGAGAGGAAGAAAGGAAGAAAAGGAGAAAGGGAATGGAAGGAAGGAAGGAGAAAGGGGAGGGGAGGAAGAAAGGAAGAAAAGGAAGGAAGGAAGGAGAAAGGGCGTGGGAGGAAGGAAGGAAGTAGTGGAGAATTTCTTGAAGTTTGGACAGAAAAAGTCCTCATTACATACTGCTGTGTCATGATGCTTCCAGTAATGATTTAGTCTATTAGTAACAAAATGACAGAGTTGGAAGGGACCTTGGAGGTCTTCTAGTCCAACCCCCTGCTTAGGCAGGAAACCCTATGCCATTTCAGACAAATGGCTGTCCAATCTTTTCTTTTAAAGTAGTGTGTCACAGGAAGCTGATACAGGTAGTCCTCGACTTACGAACCCAAGTGAGCCCAAAATTTCTGTTGCTAACCGAGACAGTTGTTAAGTCAGTTTTAACCCATTTTACGACCTTTCTTGCCTCGATTGTTAAGTGAATCAGTGCAGTTCTCAAGTTAGTAACACGGCTATGAAGTGAATCTGGCTTCCCCATTGACTTTGCTTGTCAGAAGGTTGCAAAAGGGGATCCCATGACCCCAGGACACTGCAGGCGTCATAAATGTGAGTCAGTTGCCAAGACTCTGGATTTTGATCATGTAGAACAAGGGTCTTCAAACTTGGCAAGTTTAATTCTTGTGGGCTTCAACTCCCAGAATTCCTTGAGCTAACATGACTGGAGGAGGAATTCTGGGAGTGGAAGTCCACAAGTCTTAAAGCTCTCAAGTCTGAAGACTACTGATGTAGAAGCTGCAACCATTGTAAATATGAAAAACAATTATAAGTCACTTTTTTTTCTGTGCCCTTTGTAACTTCAAATGGTCACTAAACGAACTGCCGTAAGTTGAGGACTACCTGTATATGCAATCTTCTTAACTTAAAGCCCTCTTCTTGGACTTCAGCACCAAGAATCCCCAGCCAGCATGCCCTGGAATTGAAAATCCAACACATTTGAAGGACACCTGTTTGTAGGCAGCTGGATTGGCAAACCCAGTTCTATCCTCTGTGATAATTATTTGTGGGGTTTTTTTTTTTTTGGTGTCCCAGCCTTCTTGGGAAGGGATGTTGTCATTCTGTTCCCTAATTTTTTTCACCTCCCAAGTGTCCTCCGAGGCAACCTTGGTTGACAGACATGATATTCTTCCAATTAAAATCGGAATTCCGATTTTTGGGGGAATCGCCCCCCCTTCCCCCCCTTCTTCTCCTCCTTCCCCTCCCCTCGGAGGCCCTGAGTCAGGAGTTGCTACCGCTGGCGCGGCTCTGCGTGGCTCCAGTCCCGCGTTGCCTCAGGAAGGGAAAGGCAAAAAGGAAGAGCCGCGGCGGCGCTTTGCAACGGCAGCAGCGGCTCCTGGTTTTGCCTTTCCCTTCCCGAGGCAACGCGGGACTGGAGCCGCGCGGAGCCGCGCCGGCGGTAGCAACTCCTGACAGCCCCAGCCGGATACCTGAGCGGAGCCCGGGCGGTGCGAGCGGAGCCCGGGCGGTGCGAGCAGAGCTCGCTGAGCGGCAGGAAAAGGGAGCTGGCCAGCGATTTCTTGGCGCCCCGATTTTTTTTTCAGAGGGGAATATCATGCCTGGTTGATGACTTCATGAAATTGTTGAGCTTGACCAGTTTTCTGCTTATTTTCTCACAGCCATCCCTCGGTGCCTTCTTTCCCCATCCTGCCAGTTTAATTTCACAAAGTACAGAAAACATCTCCAGTCTCGTTGGAGTTTCCCAAAAGGCCATTGCTCTCCCAGCACCTTAAAAAGGGAAGAAGAAAAAAAAAAAAAGAAGAAGACTTAGAAAAGGATTTCTCCCTCCCCCCCCCCTCCTCCTGACCTTCCTTCCTCTCATGATGTCTGAATATTTTTGGTGATGTTTAGGATGCTTGTGATGAATTTCATGGGTTGGGGTTGACTCACACGCATTTTCCCGGCAAAGCCGCCTCCTCCGGAGATCTCCTCTGTCTATTTTTCTCCCCCCACCCTTTACAGTGATAAATAAGAGACATGTGTTGCAATGTCAAAATCGTTCTTTCTAGGAAACCAGGATGACTGCACACTAAGAACAGCACGAGGCCCAAATATGGCTTTTCGCCCATCCTCTATAAACTAAACATACCCCTCCGTCCCTTTATAAATCCATTCCACTGCCTGTCTCTCTCTCTTCTCATGCGCGTGCATATTCACGCTAACCCTGTGTTCCCTTTTGTCTTTGTGCGTGTGTGTGTCTCTCTTTCTCACTGGCTCCGGTCTTCAGTTCCTCCACCAATGACCTGTCCAACTTCGACCATGGTTTTTTAAGAAGAAGTCCTGACCAGAACAGTTCCAGGGGAAGCATGGAGAGTCTGGACCATCTGCCGTCGGGATACGCCCATCCTTCCTGCCATCTTTCGCCGGCCAAGTCCACCAGTAGCATCGACCAACTGGGTCACCTTCACAGCAAGCGAGATTCCGCTTACAGCTCTTTCTCCACCAGCTCCAGCACCCCGGAATATCAGCTGCCTCCCTTCTGCAAGGAGAGGTCCTATTCCATGGAGAACGTGCATTCCCGGGCCAGGGCGCAAGAAGGTGGCATGCGTCAAGCAGACATCAGGTACGTTAAGACGGTCTACAATGCCCAGAGAGGAGTTTCAGAGGAATACGAAGTGAAGTCTTCTGCTCTCGTCCCCAGCGGTGAGGCCCACCCTCAAGGCTACAGCGCCAGCAGGCCGCACGGCCACCACAAAGGTCCACAGGCGCGGAATTCATTGGACAACGAGAGCCAGTACGCAAAAGGGCCTCCCATGCCGCCCACCCGAAGTGATAGCTACGCAGCACTCAGGCACCATGACAGGCCCAGCTCTTGGTCTAGTCACGAACAAAGAAAGGCCTTGAGGACCCATTCTAAAAATGCTTGGCTTCTCCTAGGCCAGGGCACGCCGCCTACTGGACAGCTCTCGAAACCGGCATTCCTAGAAGGGCAGCTCCACACCGTCATGGAGAGGAGTCCAGAGGGCAGTCCCACCATGAAGCCCAAACAAGGTTACCCCCAAGCTACTCAACCAGGACAGCCATTGCTACCTACCGGCGTTTACCCCGTTCCTTCTCCCGAACCACATTTTGCTCAGGTTCCTCACCCTTCGGCGAACAACAGCGGGCTGGTGTACCCGGCACTTGCCAAAGAGAGCGGTCACACTCCGGCTCCGGCTTCTTTTCCTGCTTCCTACGAAAAGGCCATGTCCGGTAAGCCGCTTCCTGTCGTGGATGAGAACGGAAACCAGAGCATTCCAAGCAAGGCAACCGTCTTCTACCATCCTGAATGTGGACCTTCCGGAGCAGGGAAGAAAAAGATGGACAACGAGACTTCGAAAGTCGTCTTGTACAGGACCCATCCTCAAGCTTACCCAACCTCTCCAAGACAGGAGGACGAAGCAGAGCCCACCTATAATATAGCACAACCCAACATCCAAGAAAGTGCGAACGAGGCCCAGTACTTGAATCATGCCTTTCAGCCTTGGTCGTTTCACCTACGGGATGCGATGGCTGAGAGCAAAGCCTGCTGCCCGTCAAAGGCATACAGTTCGGAAGAACAACAAGCGGATCGGAATGCCAACCTACCAATAAATGAGTGCGATCCTACCGCACAAAACCAGTGGAATCCCAACAAGGCGAAGCAGTACCTGTTCTCTTCCTTGCAAAATATCCCAGAGAGTACTCAGCTTCAAAACCTCATGGATTTGAAGGAGATGCAATCAGGAAGGAATTGTCTGGGTGCCAAGTGGCATATTGTGAACTATGCCAACCAGGAAGAAAAGGATGTTAAAGAGCAGGTTCCAGAATATTGGCAGGACAGAGAATGGCATGCCACAGAAGATCACCGAGATGCCACTACTAGTGCTGATTATAGCCACGACACGGAACCAAATTTTGAGGAATCTTCCTCTCCGTTGCTCCCAAAGACCTCCGATTTCAGAGCTGACCAGTTCCGATCTTTCAGCAGCAACAGCTTTCAGCCCCCCTGGTCTGGGAAAAAGGAATCTAGAAAGACCCGATGTTCTGTGCTGGAGAAGGTCAGCAAGATAGAGCGACGGGAACAAGGCCATCAGCGTCCACAGAGCGCAAATAGCTTGAGCCAAAATTCAAAGAAGTCCGCCGTTGAAGATAGCCGACGTAGACATAACTCTCAAGAATATGGTCAATTGCTGGATGAACACGGCAGGCCGGCCAGCACAAATAACTCCGACCTGTACCCAAATGTACTCTACCTAAATGATAGAAGTACTAGCAAACCAGAAAAGTCCAACCGGTATTCTGCAGAGCAGCAGAGGGTAATCGCAGCGGCTTTGGTAGCACCGCCTGATCATCAGAGCACCTACCGCCACGGGTGCTCCAGCAAGGAGTCACACAAAAAGTCTGGGCAGCTACAAAGGAGCAGAAGTACGTTCCAATTGTTGGATGAAGCCGAGAGAGAGGTCTTACAGAAAGTCAGTGCCAAGGAACCGCACGGTTCGCAGCGAGATGCCCCTGTTAACAGGACCTACAGGAACAGCATTAAGGATGCCCAGTCGAAAGTCTTGAGGGCCACCTCGTTCAGACGCAAGGACCTCAACATTAGTCCTGCCTTTGGGAAGGAGGTTCAGAGAAGTACCCCAAGACCCGCTTCAGCCCACACCGGGATGAGGAGCACAACAGCTTCTCCGCATACCCCAAAGGAGAGGCATAGCATCACGCCGACGGAGATAAAGATGGATCCTACCAATAAAGACGCTCTCCCAGGACCTCTGCACGTGCACCGTATTGGGGGAAGGAAACGGCTGACTTCCGAGCAGAAAAAGAGGTCTTACTCTGAACCGGAGAAGATGAATGAAATAGGCGTCTCGGATAATGACCTCTCCCCGTCCTCGCTTCAGAAGAAGATGCTCCAGTTTGTCTTCCAAGAGAGCACCGTGGCTGACCGACGCAAGATCTTCGAGAAGGAGAACAAAGCTTGCTCCACCATCAATCTTTCCAGGCCGGAGCTGAAACAGCTGCAGCAAAACGCCCTGGCAGATTACATTAAGCGCAAAATTGGGAAGCGCCCCTCTTCGGCTTCCCAAGAAAGGGAAGGATCGCAGACCCCATGCCGGCAAACGAACGGCCAAGAGAGTCAGCCTTTGTCCCCAGCTTCTAGCATGAATTCTCTCCAAGACCAGAGCCTCTTTCATACTAGGGAGTCTCTAGAATGGGCCTCTAGAATGGGCCATGTTTATTCTCCGCTGCCCGGGCTTCATGGTTGCTTTAATCCCGTTGAATTCGAGAGCAAGATGGCGGGCCACCCAAGTCATGGTGGCAGCAAAAGCTCCACGCCCAGTTGGCTAAAAGCAGATGGCCGCCCAGATCATAGAGTTAATCCAGAGCTTACAAAAAGCACTCAGACCGATCTTGACCTTTGCACCTCGCCGCACCCCGTCAATCAGGTCCTGGAGAAAAAGACGCGGCTGATCAAGAAGCCTGGGAAATCGGCTTCGGCAGAAGACTTGCTGGACAGGACAGAAAACCAGCCTATGACCATGCACGTCCGATCCAGGTCATCTCCCTCGTCAGATAAAATGTGCCAGGTACGTACAGGTATAGGAGAGATTTCCACAAGCTGCTCGTTGTTTCTTAATCTTGCGTCTTCTTATTTGCAAGGCGCCGAGGGGCGTTTTTCGAAGCTCCACTAAACCTTGAGACAATTTAAGAACATTTTTCATTCTGTCGACACATTAGCACCTAATTTTCTGCAGCCACATTTCTGTAAATTTGGGTGGTGGCAAGGTATTCCGCTCCCCCCCCCCCCCCCCCCGCGGTTTGATCATGGGTATACCTATAAAGGGAACGCGGTGACTCAGTGGCTAAGACACTGAGCTTGTTGATCGGTAAGGTCGGCAGTTCAGCGGTTCGAATCCCTAGCGCCGCGTAATGGAGTGAGCTCCCGTTACTTGTCCTAGCTTCTGCCAACCTAGCAGTTTGAAAGCACGTAAAAAATAGGAGCCACTTTGATTGGAAGGTAACAGCATTCTGTGCACCTTCGGCCTTGAGTCATGCTGGCCACATGACCACGGAGACGTCTTTGGACAGCGCTGGCTCTTATTCAGCTTTGTAACGGAGATGAGCACCGCCCCCTAGAGCCAGAAACTACTAGCACGTATGTGTAAGGGGAACCTTTACCTTTATACCTATAAAGATAGACTTACAAACCACAATGGAGCCCAAATTTCTGTTGCTAACCGAGGCAGTCGTTAAGTTAGTTCGTGTTAATGCCACAAAAGCATGGCTGCTGACAGTGTTGATAAAACGGTCGGGCATTCAGGAAAGAGGGACATGCAAATATAGATATGCAAATAGAAATTTGAAAAAGAGTTCACATGAACCTCCTAATACAGGTAGTCCTCGACTTACAACTGTTCATTTAGCGACTGCTCAAAGTTACAACGGCACTGAAAAAAGTGACTTAATGGCCGTTTTCCCACTCTTATGTCCATTGCAGCATCGCCATGGTCACATGTTCAAAATTCAGAAGCTTAGCAACTGGTTTGTGATGGCTGCATTATCCTGGCCTGATGTGATTCTCTTTTGCGGCCTTCTGATGAACAAACAATAGGGAAGCCAGGCTCACTTAATGATCACGTTGCTAACTTAACAACTGCAGTGATTCACTTAACAACGGTGGCAAGAAAGGGCAAAACTCACTTAACAACTGTTTTACTTAGCAACTGACATTTTTGGCTCCATTGTGGTTGTAAGTCGAGGATTACCGGTACAGCCACCAAAAAGTTGGACACAACTACATAGTTAAAAACAATAGCAAGGCCCCCTTGGGTTTCTTAATGGCCCTTTCCCCCGCCCCTCTCTGAAATCCAACCTTATTTCGTTTTTTTTAAAAGAGTAGAAAGAAGAGAAAGCCAAGCACAGATACAAATAAAAATGTTTATCTCAATTTTGATAATTTCTGGAAGACTTAATTTGAGTTGCAGTTCGTTTCCCACTGGCCCAGCTTGGACTGCCGTTATAAATATAAAGGCAGTCCAACATATATTTATTTTTTGCAAGCTCTCCTTAGGGAATGTAGTGTTCCGTGCAGCCTGGCTATAAATTATACAGCTGTGTCACCCAAGGAATTTGTTTAAAGAAGAGAGAAAATTGATAGCTGTGCAATCTCGCCAGCCGATCTGTCTTCGACCCGCATTCCTTCTCCTCTGATGCAGCTTCTCTTTTAGCCTGTCTCAGCCTGCATGCCTTATGGGTCTCCCATGTATAAATTTGGGGGAGCTTTGAAAGGGCCTCCCTCCCTCTCTCACCAGCTGCTGCCTTCCCCAGGGACAACGGAGGTAGGCGGTCTACAGCCGAAGTAATCTTTGGACCCAGTAAATTATGACCGGCTGGGATCCCTGTCTCTTCAAAAATATGTGATCTTTAGCATCTGGAGAAAAGCCAGTTTTGGGGGTTTTCGGGGTTTTCCCAAGCTCTTTTTTTTTTCTTCCCTCCCTCTGAATTTTTCATACTTGGAAACCCCAACTCTAGCCAGGGTGCATCATTTAAATGCACAGAAAAATCGTACCCTGATATCTCGTGGATTGGGAACACCCATCCTATTCGATTTTGAATTCCTGCAGGGTGACCCCATTTATTGTATCATGTGAGCCATAGCTTATGACCAGGGGTTGAAGTTCTCCCGGTGTGACAACCAGTTCGCTATTGCAATTATTTACCTTCAGGGAAGGTACTCAGGGAAGTAACATTGGCTGAAGGGCGGCAGAGCAGATCACCTGAGCAGATATAGGTATAGAGTACAGCAGAGGGGTGGACGGGTAAGCCCACATGATTGTCGGATCGAACCAGTTTGGAGCTAGCTGGTCATCGCAGCTAGGAGTTCACCCGAACTGGTCTGAACTGGGGGAATCCCACCAGGGGTGCGATTCTACCAGTCCGGCCTGGTTCTGGCGTACCGGTAGCGCTAAAGATTAGCTGGCAGAGAACCAGTTTGCTCCGAGCCTTTCCGACGGCCTGCAGTTGGGCCCTCCTGCCCGCCCTGCTCCTAGGTCCTTTTTAACTTCTCAGCTGTTTGCGCAGCAGAGCGAATCGCTGTGCTAAACAGCCGTGAGAGGCGCATTAGGTTAGTTTTTACCATTTTATAATGCGTGCGCAAAGCACGTGTTTGGCACACGTGCATGCACGATCGCGCGAGTCACGCAATCCCACCCCTGCAGCCACGCCCACCAAGCCACGCCCACAGAACCGGTGGTGGGAACTTTTGAATCCCACCCCTGCTTACAACTTTTGCGTGAGCTCTGTCCCACGGATTATGAATGATTCAACTCACCGACGGGATAGGACAGTGCAGGGTAGTCCTCGCCTCACGGCTACAATTGGCCCCCAAATTTTCTGTCGCTAAGTGAATTCGGCTCCATTTGACAACCTCTCTCGCCACCATTGTTGAGTGAATCGCTGCAGTTGTTAAATGATAGTAACCTGGTTGTTAAGTGAATCAGGTTGACTTTGCGTGTCAGAAGGTTGCAAAAGGGGATCACCTGACCCCGGGACACTGCAAAACCATCAAAAAATATGTGCCCGTGGCCAAGCCTCTGAATTTTGATCACGTGACCATCACGGGGATGTCGCAATGGTCTCACGCTTTTCTTCAGTGCCATCGTAACTTCAGTCACTAAATGAACGGTTGTAAGGATTACTTTCAATAATGAAGACAGCACCAAGTGCCTGGATTTTGGGCACCTGAATGTGGAGGCGCTACAAAGGTTGTAAGTGGGGAAAACAGTCGTAAGTCATTTTTCCAGGATCGTAACTTCGAACAATCATTAAATCAACTGTTGTAAATCAAGGATTATCCACCCATTTTGTATCATGGTGTTCATTGGGGTGCTTTGTTTTCCATAGCAGACAGAGACAGAGAGACAGAGAGAGAGAGACACACACAGAGAGAGAAGAGAGAGAGGCAGAGAGAGAGAGAGAAAGACAGACAGAGAGAGAGACAGAGAGGAGAGAGAGAGAGAGAGAGAGACAGAGAGGAGAGGGAGGCAGAGAGAGACAAAGACAAAGACATACAGAGAGTCAGAGAGAGACAGTCAGAGAGACACAGAGGAGAGAGAGGCAGAGAAAGAGACACACACAGAGAGAGAAGAGAGAGAGGCAGAGAGAGAAAGACAGACAGAGAGAGAAAGAGAGAGAGAGACAAGATCCCTATTATTAGGGATCAACTGTCATCCTGATCTATCCAGATCTATAAAAATCCAGATCTAACCCACATCACCTTTTGTTCTTTTTTGTGTGTGTAACATTTTTTATTTTATATTTATCACCTTTTATTCTGAAGATCAGATAGCAAGCTAGAGAATTCAAAGAAGATTGAAATAGATTAAGAAAATTATCTAGTTTCTCGTAAGGCAGCTTTCTAAGTGCTCATTTGCTTGAATCCCTTCTAATGCAGGCCTGTTCCTTGGCAGCTCATATTTAGCTCATCATACAGCTTTTATCTGCACTTAACCAAGCGGCACCATGATATACATATATGGGATGAAGAGGAGCTACAGCTTTATCAGCTAAAACTCCTGTTTTCTTCTGGATTATGCAGTGCAGTTTTATTAGCAACAATCGTTGGAAGAGTCTCTTTAAGATTTTCCTTGACTTATAACAGTTCGTGTAGTGACCTCTTATGATGGCGCTGAAAAAAAGCAACGTATGACTGTTTTTCACACTTACGACCGTTGCAACATCCCCATGGTCATGTGATCAAAATTCAGGTTCACGTTTATGATGGTTGCAGGATCCCAGGGTCACGTGATCCACTTTTGCGACCTCCTGTCAACGGGGAGGCCAGATTCACTTAACAACCAGGTTACTAATTTAACCACGGAAGTGATTCACCCGAAACAACGGTGGCAAGGAAGGTCTTAAAATGGGGCAAAACCCACTTAAGAAATGTCTCACTTAGTAACAGAGATCTTGGGCTCAGTTGTGGTCATACACCGAACACTGCCTGTAATAGACCAAAATCATTACAGGAAACCCTTAAAACAGTCGACCATATAAGAAATAACCAACTGCAGCTTCCATGTTTCACTGGTACAGGGACAATAACGCATTACAGATGGTACTTGACTTAAAACTACAACCATTTGCAACAATTTAGCCCAAAATTTCTATTGCTTTTTTTGGGGGAGGGGGGGGAGTTTTTTATTTTTAAATATACATCAATATCATTGCATAGACAGTGTGGCATCTGAGTGTCAATCATTTTGATACAAAAATAATGTTAATACAAGTGAAAATCACTGCATTAATCAGAACGCGCATGGTTCTAATGCATATTTGTATCAGCACATAGTCCTTCATTTTTTCAATTATTCAATATTTGCTACATCCTTCTAATAGGAATAGCATTGTTCTCGGGCGTACCTGGTAGCATCCTTTTTCAAAATCCAATCTTAACCTCTTCGCATTCATTTTAAATGTGTTATGCAAAAATATGTATAATAATATTTCCCCCCATTTCGAAATTTCTATTGTTAAGCAACAGACGTACAACTACTCGTTTAGTGTTGGTTCCAATTTACAACAGCACTGAAAAAAAAGTGACTTACGACCGCTTTTCGTACGATCATTGAAAGCGTTTCCCTCCCGTCACGCGATTGGAATTCAGACGCTCGGCCACTGACTCATATTTACGACGGTTGCAATGTCCCTGAGTCATGGAGTCCCCCTCTTGCGACCTTCTGACAAGCAGAATTGGTGGGGAAGCCAGATTCACTTAACCTTGTTACTGACTTAACAACTGTAGTGATTGACTTAACAACTGTGCGAAGAAAAGATGCAAAACGGGGCAAAACCCACTTAACCAACTGTCTTGCTTAGCCACAGAAATGTTGGGCTCATTTGTGGTCGTAAGTCGAGGCCTACCTGGAAATGCAGCTGTGTTGCCGAGTGCTCATTGTGCGGTCATTTGCCAGTGAGGTCATAACCTCAAGTTATAAAATGAGGACTACCTCGCTTAATTTATACCTATTATAAGAGCCATGGTGGCGCATTGGTTAGGGTGCAGTACTGCAGGCTACTTCTGCTGACTGCCGGCTACCTGCAATTTGGCTGTTCGATCCTGACCAGCTCCAGGTTGACTCAGCCTTCCCTCCTTCCGAGGTGGGTAAAATGAGGACCCAGTTTATTGGGGGCAATAGGCTGACTTTGTAAACCGCTTAGACAGGGACTGTAAAGCACTGTGAAGCGGTATATAAGTCAAGGCCTACCTGGAAATGCAGCTGTGTTGCTGAGTGCTCATTTTGCTGTCATATTCCAGTGAGGTCATAACCTCAAGTTGTAAAGCGAGGACAACCTTGCTTAATTTATATCTATTATGAGAGCTGCAGTGGCACAGTGGTCAGAGTGCAGTACTGCAGGCTACTTCTGCTGACTGCCGGCTACCTGTAATTTGGCAGTTCGAATCTCACCAGGCTCAAGGTTGACTCAGCCTTCCCTCCTTGCGAGGTGGGTAAAATGAGGGCCCAGATTGTTGGGGGCAAGAGGCTGACTCTGTAAACCGCTTAGAGAGAGCTATAAGTCTAAGCACTATTATTTGATAAGGAAGGAAGGAAGGAAGCAAGCCATTGCAGCACAGTGGTTAAAATGCAATATTGCAGACTGACTGTGTCCACTGCCAGCAGTTCGATCCTGGACGGCTCAAGGTTGACTCAGCCAGCCATCCATCCTTCCGAGGTCGGTAAAATGAGGACCCAGATTGTTGGGGGCAATAGGCTGACTCTGTAAATGGCTTAGAGAGGGCTGGAAAGCACTGTGAAGTGGTACATAAGTCTTAAGTGCTATTGCTATGCAATCTAATACCCATTGTCCTTGTCTGCTGAACCATCCCTGGGGCCTGACATTCCCAATAGCATCCCAATTAAACAATCTTATTTCGCTTTTAAGATAGTTAGGAGAATTAATCCCCCTCGGGGGCGGGGTTCGCATCCTAGCCAGCAACTTTATTCCTTGCGTTCTCAGATCTAGACTGCCGGATGCAGGTCATTATATACTTGCAAGAGGCTCACTCAAAACCACAGGCTTTTCTTAAGCCAGCAATAAAGCAATTGCATGAAATAAAGATCTAATCTAATCTCACCCGGATCCTAAATATTTCAACGGGCTTCTTTTTGCCTTTCGTCATTCTCAAAACGAGCAAGGAAAAAAAGATGGTTTTTTTCTTTTTTGAGAGTCTAACAAAAGTCGCCCAAGACCAAGAAAGAGGACGAGCCAATTGCTGGATGTGTATCTGTTATTTCCAGGTTTTCCAGCAGAAGTTTTAGGCTTTTAATATTTTACATGGCAGGCAGAAATGCGTCAGGGAAGATGATATGCGGATGCAGTGATAGATTTTTTTGCCCCCCCAAAAAAATGGATAATTAGCAAGCATAGGAGACAAAAACAGAAGCAGAGACCGGTCCTTTTTAAGTCTGTGAGCACAGAGGCAATTCAGTTAACCTGCCCTTCCAAAACATTTTTCTTCTTCTTCCTTCTGTCCACTTGAGCGCAAGTAGTCCTCAACTTTACGACTACAACTGAGCCCACAATTTCCATGTCACATGTTCAAAATTCAGGCACCTGACTTGGGAAGGTTGCAAATGACAATCACATCACCCCAGGGAAGTTGGAACTGTTGCTAAACATGCCAGTTGTCAACATGTGCAAATATTGATCATGTGACTTTGGGGATGCTGCAATGATCATAAGCACAAGGACTGGTCATAAGCAGAGGTGGTATTCAGCAGGTTCCGACCGGTTCTGGAGAACCGGTAGCGGACATTTTGAGTAGTTCAGAGAACCGGCCAATCCCACCTCTGACTGGCCCCGCCCCCATCCATTCTCTGCCTCCCGAGTCCCAGCTGATCGGCTGGGTCTCCTTTGGTTGCCCTGCCCAGGAGAACAGAGCTGGAAAGCAGGTTAGTTGGGTGGGGAGGGAATGGAGATTTTGCAGTATCATTCCCCTGCAACGCCCACCAAGTCACACCCACAGAACCGGTAATAAAAAATTTAGAATCCCACCACTGGTCGTAAGTCACTGACTTCAGTTCTGTTGTAACTTCGAATGGTTGCTAAATGAACGGTTGTTGTGAGGAAAGGAAAAAAGAAACCTTGCCCTTTAAGGAATAGGCAACACAACTCCTAACAGTTGTAAGTCGAGGACTACCCATAAAGCAGTCATCGTGCTTGACTTACGATCACAATTGAGTCAAAAAGGTGTGTTGTTAAGTGAGAAATATGTTTAAATGAGTTTTGCCCCGTTTTACGGCTTTTCTTGGGTGGGGAGGGGGATGCCGGTGGCCTGACAGCCACATTTGTTAAGTGAATCACTGAAGTTGTTAAATTAGGAACATGGTTGTTAAGTGAAACTGGTTTCCCCCCTTAACTTGGCTTGTCAGAAGGTCGCAAAAGGCGATCATGGGACACTGCAACCGTCATAAATACGAACCCGTTGTCAAGCATCCAAATGTAAATCACGTGACCACGAGGAAGCTGCAATTGGTCATAAGTGTGAAAACTGGTCATAAGTCACTTTTTTCAGTGCCGTTGTAACTTTGAATGGTTAGTAAACAAACTGTTGTTAAGTTGAGGACTATCTGTATTAGCGTGGGTACCCAAACATTATTTGCTGAAGTTGTCTTTTACAAAATAATGTGGCTTTTTAATTTGCTTTTAACTTCCTATCTCTTCTCCTTAAGGATTTCCAGGTTGAAGACGGTAATCAAATCTCTCATTTTATGAAAGATCCTTTCTACGTACTGGGTGCTACAAGCAGGTAAGCATGTTTGTGTGGGGGTTTGTGTATGTGTTTGTTTTTGCGGGCATGTTAAATGCCTAGAAATGTTGATTGCAAAATCGACAGCCGTAAAAATCACCAAGCTTGCTCCATAGGTCATCATTTTCTTCAGCCAAAGAGCTCCGTGCAATTCCAAAGACTCGTCACCCAAATTGGGCTAGTTTTAATTATTCATAGATTGCTTCCTCAAACATGGTGGGCTTTGCAGTCAGAGCAAGAGAGGAGGGAAGCTAGAAACGACAGCCTAACAATGCAGAGGAAGGAGGGAGGGAGGGAGGGAGGGAGGGAGGGAGGGAAGGAAGGAAGGAAGGAAGGAAGGAAGGAAGGAAGGAAGGAAGGAAGGAAGGAAGGAGGAGGGAGGGAGGCAAGAGAGAGAGAGAGAGAGAGAAAGGGATAGAAGTGAGAGAGAAAGAAAGAGGGAGGGAGAGGGAGAAAGAAAAAGAAGGAGGGAGGAGGGAGGGAAAGAAAAAGAAAAAGGGAGAACGAAGAAAGAAAGAGAGGGAAAAGAAAAGAAAGGAAGAAAGAGAAAGAAAGAAAAGAAAAGGGAAAGGGAGGCGAGAGAAAGGGAGGGAGAGAAAAAGAAAAAGGGAGAAGGAAAAAAGAAAGAGAAAGGAAAGGAAAAGAGGAAGAAGGAGAAAGAAAGAAAGAAAATAAAAAAAGAAAAGGGAGAGGGAGGAGAGAGAAAAAAGAGGGAAAAGAAAGGAAGAATAATTAGGGCTAAGAGAGCATTCAAACACATGCTTCTCATCAAATTACATCAGCTTGAGCGAAAGGCTCGCTCTGCCAGAACAGTTGATAGGATTTCTTCCAAAACTTCCCAGTCACCTCCACTGCCACAAACACCCTCAAATGCTTTACTTCCTCCGCCGCCTCAACTGCGAGACTCACAGCGACTTCCAGCAAAACCCAAACTTAGCCTGTGCTAAGCCGTGCAGACTTCACAACTGCTCCAACATTCAGAAGGGAGGGCAGGTTGCTTGCGACCACACGCTTTGGGAGAGGACTCCCTTCAGATGCTTTGCATGTCCCACATAATCACTGCTCCAGATGGCAGGGAAATCAGATGAGAGCACTATTTCAGCATATCATAGTTTTAACCCTAACATATTTGTGCCCTGCTCCCTCGTGGAGTCAGGGTATCCCTGGGACCTTCGATCATGTTAAAAGTTTTATGTTTCTGTCCCAGTCCCTATTTGTAAAACCACCTATTTGCTGGAATGGAGATCTTGCTTATTGTTTATATACAGAGGCCGCCAACCTTTTGGACCTCAGGGACCACCAAACTCATAATTTTAAATCCCGCGGACCAGAGACCCTGGGAAATCCTCCCAAAAGTCTGCAGGAAAATTCCCCACCCCGTTTTCCTACCGATCGATCATTCTTTATTTGGGATCGCAGGATACCATCTCCAGCTCCGTTTTCGGGGGAGAGAGAGAGAGACTTTTGGCTTCATACAAGGAAAGCAGCAGAAGCAGCAGAAGTCTTTCTTTCTCTTTGTGTTCCTGCGCAGCCTGGGTTAATTGCTTTGGGGGATGCTTTGGGGGTGACATTTCTTAGTGGACCACCTAAATTTTCTCATGGACCACCAGTGGTCCCTGGCCCACTGGTTGGCGACCACTGGTTTAATAAATTGGTAGCAATGAACTCCAGAGTACGACAGTTAGGTGTAAGCTGCATTTTTGCTGCATTATTTGCTCTTAAAAATGAAAGCATTAACCTTGCTTAACCCCAAGCAAGGAACCAATTCAAATAATGTAAAAGATAACGGTAAAGGTTTCCCCCGGCCGGGCGGGTCAAGCTCTGGGGGGGGGGGGGGGGCGCTGTTTGGTTGTCTCTGTTTCTTAGCCAATGCGTTGTCCGAAGATGCTTCGGACATGTGGCCAGCAGGACTATATTTCAACGTGCATGGAATACTATTGCCTTCCCATCCAAGTGGTACCTATTTATCTACTCGCATTTGCATGCTTTCGGACTGCTCTGTGGGCAGGAGCTGAGGCAAGTAATGGGAGCTCACCCAGTCATGCAGCGCTCAGGTCTTGAACCCAGGTTTTCAGCTGACAAGCTCAGCGTCTTTAACCACTGAGCCATCACATTCTCTTCTCATATAATCTATGAAACCAAGAGCACCCCTACCAATTGGTCTTTCAAAACCAAACGGGGCACAAATGCACCACAGAGCTTTCAGGTTCCAAACCAACCAGAGTGAACGACGTTGCTTCCTGCAAAGGTTCCTGTCCCTTTTGCACTTCCTTTGTACCTTATGGGAGGGGCAATCCCGAGTCTTAATCCCGAGTCGCCCCCTTTGTCTTAACTGTTCTTGCCTTCTGGCAGCTCTGCGCACGTGCACTAGGAACAAGCTCCCCTGGTTCCTCTGACTCGCTGCTGCTGGATTCTGGAGACTCCGGAGTCAGCGCATAACTCCCAGATGGCCCTGGCCCCATCTCTGCATCGGACGCAGGACCATCGTCTGAGTCCTCCCCAGACTCCCAGACTGGCCCATGCTCTTCCGCACTGTCCGATTCTGCTGCCAGCGGACCACAACACACTGGAAGTTTTTAAAAAGATGTTGGATAACCATTCGTCTGAAGTGGTGTAGGGCTTCCTGCCTAGGCAGGGGGTTGGACTAGAAGACCTCCAAGGTCCCTTCCAACTCTGTTATTCTATTTTATTCTCTACTTACTTCCCTTATAATAGTCACCTCCCTGGTTATTTTTACAAATTATCCCTGCTTGACTTGGGGAAGGGGGGGGGCGTTTGGGTGGTTCGGAGTGCTTTTTTCCCCCCTCCCCTATTTTGTTTTAATTTCGTTTTGAGAAAACTCTGTTTGCTTGCTTTCTCCTAGGTCATTCAGCAATAGCAAAAGAGGCCACCTGGAAAAATCGGCCTTCACGCAGTACCGTCCTCATCACAGCAGTGAGAATGTGGGTAGCTCAGTGCCGCCCGCCGAGAGGCAGAAGGTCCCCGATATTCTCCGACATCACAGCCGGACCTCGGCCTTTGTCTCCCCTTGCCCAGAGGCGAAGGAGAAGCATTCCAATGCCAAGCAAGGCTTCAGACGGGTCGCCCCTTCCAAAACGAGCTATTCCTCTCGCAGTTCGGCGTCCTCCACCCCGACTCTTTCAGACTTCTCCACTGCTGGAGACAACCCGCTCACAAAATGGCCGCCCAGAGCTGACAAGGAAGACAGTAACAAAGCTCAGAGCCAGGTCCTGGAAAGTGTTCACCCCCCAGGCAAGGAGCCATCAGAAGAAACAACCTGGAGGTCCAAGTCTACTCTGTCTCAAAGACAACCCCCAGCTAAAGTGAAGTGGGCCAGGGAGGACAACCACCCAAAGAGCTCCACCTCTGTTCAAACATCTGGCCAGAAGGGTTTCCAACCGTGGCACGGGATCCCCTCTAAGAATAGTTCCTTCTCTGAGCCAGAATCTCTCTCTGGCCAAGGGAGGTTCTCCCTTCGCATCTCAGAGACCTGTCTCCAGATGTCCCCGCCACCATTCTGTCGAGAAGAGGACGATGATGATGTTTTCATCCAAGAAGCCCAGGCTCATCCTAGGGGTGCTATCTCAGAATATCCACCGCCGCCTGAAAGTCCCAATGACAACCTGGAAGACTTTCCATCGCCTCCCCCAAGTGTGGCATTCGAAGAGGATTATCCAGCATCAGACAGCTCTATTAGTCTCGCAGAGGAGAAGATAACAACAAGGTATTGGACATTGCAGTGACTTTTTCCAGTTCTTTCTACTCTTTGGGTGAAAGGTGGTGGCCCTTGGTGCTCTCGGAGCGTGATTGTTTTGTTGCAGACGTTTCATTGCCCAACTAGGTAACGTCATTAGTGCTAGAAGGGAGTGGGGTGTGTTCTCTTGTTATATATTAGTGGCTAATCTTGTCAATGTTGGTGGGACCGGACGGTTCTTGGTGGTTCCTTGACTAGGCTGTTCTTTACTGTGGGCTTGTTTATCATGAGATTCAAAGCAACCAAGGAAACAACCAAGCTCAGACAGCAATAACGATTCCACAGTTCAACCAGGAGTTACAAATATTCTTTGCATATAAACTAGAATGTGTTTATCAGCAAAAAAATCAAACTAATGCATTTAACTTAATTTTTGACTTTGATCTACTGGCTCTGAATTAAAATGAGCTTGGTCCTCAGAATGATCCCATGAACTCTTTGGGGACAACTATTCTCTAATTACTTAAATATTTGTCTGGCATTTATGAATAAGAATAGAAATAGGAATAATTAGGAATAGGAATAACAGGAATAGGAAGAATTGGAATAGGAGTAGAATAGAACAGAATAGAATAGAATACTTTATTGGGAATGGAATGGCATGGAATAGAATAGAATAGAATAGAATAGAATAGAATAGAATAGAAAATATTGGATAGAATAGAATAGAATAGAATAGAATACTTTATTGGGAATGGAATAG